CCACTCCTTCGGAGTGGAAGAAACAGAAACAAACAAACAATTGCTTGAAAATATTGGAAGGATGTATTGTACTTCTGATCCTTCAACTATATATGAGTATGCAACTTAACTTACAGCTGGAAGAATATTTGAATCATGGATAAAGTTGATCGAATTATATGTCAGGTCAAAGGTGTTAAAATCAAAATGTAGTAATTGTTATAAAAAATAAATATTTATTTATAAATATTATTGCTTTGGCTTAATTATGGATGGATGGACTACAGAACATGGTCGTATGTAAAATTAATTTATTAAACTATAACCATATCAACGATTTACAATAATACAATCATCTATTAGTGTGCGAGTGCATATGATTCGCCAGTTCGATACTATCCTTGACCCTGGTCGAGCAAACTGTACAGGCCACCCCATGCTCCGCTAAAGTATGCGTCAACAAATGGGATTCGTGCTTAAATCCTTGCAGACACTCCATACACGTATACCTTTTGTGTCCTTCCATGTGAAACTTCAAGCTGCTGTAGTGTTTATAGGGTTTGTGACATTCCGGGCATTTGTAAGGTTTATCGGTGATAACGTGCAATCGTTTGTGCTCGTTCAAACTGCTGACAGAAGCAAACCCTAAGCCGCAAGTATCGCATTTATTCGAGGCAGTGTGCGTCTGGGCGTGAATCTTCAGGTGCAATTTGTAAAAGAACTTTTTGCCGCACTGCAGGCACATGTAACGTTTCTTGATTGTCTGCGTATCTTCGTCGTTGTGATTGGAATTTGTCGCTTCCGGCTCAAAGGCGTAATCATCCGGATCCTCGTTACAAATCGAATTGTCGTAATCGGGATCCTTCAGATCCAGATCACTGTCGCTGTCTGGACATTCAACTCTTGAAAAGATAAAATATTATAGTTCAGGTCTTCAAATTTATAAACAATTCGAAAATAAATTTGTATTTTCTTTTTCAATGATTTTATCTTACAAATAAATGAATCAAATAAAGCTTTTTTACATTTAAACTATACAAAAACTATACAAGGCTGCTGTAATTGCAATATAAATATTGCTATAAACTAATGGTTCATAATGAAACATAAGAGCTTACATGAACATAATATAAAAAATATGAATGATTACTATGGAAATTTGTAAAATAACAATACTGCATCAAAACATTAAAAACATAAACAAACCAACTTACTTAATGTCAACTTCCTCTTCAGTAATGTTCACCTCATTTTGAGGACTAAAACGAAATATAAACAGTTAAATTACATTAACATTAACGTTTAATTTCAACTTACAAGTTATTCAACTTCTCATTCATCTCATTCTCCAGGATCTTATCAGACTCCCTGATCCTGTACAAAAATTTGTAGCACGTCACGCCCTCTACTAAACATTTTTCGCAAATCCATTGCGGTTTCCCATCGTTGTCTGAAATCTATTCATATTGCAAATAAATGCCACCAAAACAAAATGTAAACAATCGAACGCTTCTTACTTCCAAATTGCAACAATATTTCACCAGCTTCCTAACCTGAAACACCTTTCCGTCCAACAGTATTCCAGCATAGAACGACACCTGTTTACTTTCCGTTTGCAAACACACTCTGCACCTTGCCGTTGCCATGATTCGAACTTAATATTAATATCACAAGGCGTCAAACTTACTGTACAGCCACCAAAATCTTCAAATCTCTGGTCAGCACATCCCTTACAAAACTTACTTTACTATCAATAGATACAACCGTCATGTTCGTTGCTATAGTTACGTGGTGGTAACTAGGTTACAAGGGTGCGGGAGATTCGAAATTAAAGCAATCTTGATATATTATGAAACATCAAATTAGTATTTTATTAGCACTATGATACAGACAAGAAAAATATCTACACTTCATTTTATAATGAATTATTTTATTTAATGCATTCTTTTAAATTTATTAATGTATTAATAAATATTGAATTTCAGTCCAAATTAATGAAATAAACTTTATAAAAGTTAATAATAATCAATGTCCTCATTCATCTTCATCCTCTTCTTGCAGCAAATGATCCAGTTTCAAATTGTTCTTTGATGTTTCAGCTTGCAGTTTTTTATTAGTCTTGTTCTTCTTCAATTTCTGTCCAACTACATACTCTGGCATAACTACTTTACTGCTTTTGAAGGATATGTCCTTATCCATATCGCTCTTTGTGTCATCACTGAACTTGATACGTGAAGCTTTCTTGAATGTTATCTTCTCTGGCAATTCATCCAACTTTTTGTCATCATTATTGCTGTTCCTCTTCTCAAGTTCTCTCAGAAATGATAAAGCTGTTCTTGTATTTGATCTGTTTGAAATATCATCATCCTTAACATCTTTCAGAGTGTACTTGGTCCATTTAGTTGGATTCCTGCTATAGGTACTAGGAAGGCACCTTGTAATAGGTGCTTCTGGTCTCTTGAATATGCTTTCTTTTGACTTGAAGTTTTTAGTCATCACCTTCTGTTGCTTGTGGATGTTCGGAGTATCCACTTCCATTTGCCTCTCAGGCTCTGCATTTCTCTTGGCACTTTTTTCTGCATTTTCTAGAATAGCAAAGAGATTCTTTTGCTTTTCATTGAACACTTCACTGTTGCTGTTTAACTGAAACTGCATTTTACTGTTGTTTTGATTTGCCATTTTTAGGTTAGGCTTCTTTGACAACTACAGTCATATGTTTTTGTACGTTGTATATCTTAAATAAACTGTCTTCAGCAAACTGTTAATATCCATTGATTAACTGTAAGAACTTGTATAAACCAGTTTATAAGTAATGGTAATTCATCCAAGAATTGCATAGGCAAATTACGTATTTTTCAAAATATCTAATTTTCTGTGTGTGGTAGACCTGAAAACTAAAAATGTATCTTTTATGTTGAAGTTGATGCACGTGTAGTTTTAGTTGGTTTAGAAAAGAAAAACAAATATTTAAATTAATTAAATTGTGAAAAGGTGAGCCACTTTTCTTACATATATGACCGTAAGTAGCAATTCCAATTATATTATTAATATTTTGCCATTAAGAGACATACAGGAAGACAGTTGATAACATGCATATTTGGTTATGCTACCATCAAATGTTTTACACAAGAGTTCCTTTTAATAACTGTTTTCAAAACTTAGCTCCAATGTTTGATGACATCTGCCATATATTTATTTATTCAAATTGTTTCAGGATTGGTTAAAAAAAAATCATCAAAATGAAGGGTGGAAAGAATCTAAAAAAGAAGACGGTCATACTGAAGACAATGGAACAGTTTGATAATATATGTGACACAAGTTTGAAGAAGGAGCCTGAGACAGAGCCAAGTGCGAAGCGGCTATGTACAGTTGGCAGTCAGAAGATAAATTTTAATTTGCGCTTGCAGGGTGAGGAGGCAAGACTTTCAGTACCATATGATAATCGAATTCCTTTATATATACCTGATATAAATTACCTACTTATCTATACACAAAGATTGCAGAAGACACCATATCCTCTGAAATGGTGTGGTTTCACAAAGCAAAATTTACTGAGCACTGTGAATATACTGATTGTGGAAAATGTGTCTCTGTACCAGTATGAAGCATACAGCAGTAACTTTGAAAAACTAAATGAAGCGTTTGATTTCAAATTTGAAGTTGTCAGTCCAAGCTCTTATAACAGAGATACCATCATGGATATTGCCACCATTCCAATGACACACAATGAGAAAGTGAACTATTTGAAGAAGTATGGGACTATTGAGAAGGCTGCAGAAGAGTGCAAGAAACTGTTTGATTTAGAGATATTTCCAACTGCAACAGTTGAAGATGAAGAGGAGGTACAGAGTTTACCCAATATTGATAAATTCCCGAGGACGCAACTGCTGTTGTCTGGATGGCAAATGATTGAGGAGAATTTCCCGTTACCAATTCGCGGACTAATGGAGAGGAAGTACAAGGGATATGTTTTAACGAAGGATGAGTATCAGGAGGTCACAGCTAACAGTCCGATGTACGGTTTGGATTGCGAAATGTGTCTGACCGCTATTAACGAGTCCGAGTTGACGCGTGTTTCGGTTGTCGATGAGCAAATGAAAGTGATTTACGAAGAATTGGTGAAGCCGCCAAATAAGATCACTAATTATCTGACAAGGTATTCGGGGATCACGGCTAAGATGATGGCACCGGTAAGGAAGACTTTGGAAGATGTGCAGAAGGAACTGAGGGATGTGTTACCACCAAATGCTATACTAATCGGACAATCGTTAAGTAATGATTTGCACGCCTTGAAGATGATGCATCCATATGTCATAGATACTAGGTAATGATATATCCTTTATTTCAACTTTAATTGAGCTACAAATTAATTCAATTACTAGTTAAATTCATTCTTATTTGTATTATTGATGTAATTGAAATGGTTCTGTGCGTAGGTGAAAAAAAAAATGAATTTATTGTGACATTGATATGATATTAATTGGTCTGTCTGTTGCAGTGTTATATTTAATTTGACGGGGCAAAGGGATAGGAAATCGAAATTACAAATATTGAGTAGTCAGTTTCTGCAGGAGAACATACAGAATTCGCGACAGGGGCATTGTTCCATCGAGGACAGTTCGGCGTGCGTAAAGCTGACGAAACTGAAACTTTCCAAGGATCTGTTATTCGGTGATGCGGTGCTCAACAAAGGTTTCAGAAAGTTCGATAGCGTGCAGCAGGACAGCATCAGGTACGGGAAGAGCCTGCTGACCGAACTAACGTACGATCTGAATAAGAAGGCTTGCGTCATCGGCAGTGAAGATGCGATCAATAAATTCAAATCGTGTACGTACAAGCAGGACGCGCTGCAGAATCCGTTGATCGGCTTCAGCGTTCACAATTCCAACAAGGAAGTGGTGAACGCTCTCCTGGATCAGATGACCAACAACAACATAAACCTGGCGCATTTGGAGGCGCCGAAAGACCACTGCGACGATTCCACTGACCTGGGATTCCTGAAGAAACTGGACAGGTGGTCGGGCAAAATAGTCGACTCCAGTCCGTCGAATAGCATAAACATTGTTTTATTCACTGGGAACGCCTCGAGCAACGGCTGTTGCTTCATAAATATCAAGTAAATGCTATATTATAATATTAAGATATTAAATAATTAATATTTATTTTTAATGGTTGTTTTATTCACTATACGATGTGTAAATAGTTTATCTTATTGATTTTTTGTTTTCTTTCCATATTGTACAAATAAAATATTAAAAAAAATAATAATAATTAAAACGAATCAACATATTATGTGTATCGAATATAGTGGAACGCACATAGCTGCATCTTATTTCACAGAATGTTGACGGTTCTCGTTAACCTTGTGTCATTTCTCGCTTAAAGAAAATCTATTTAATACTAACTGTATGAGTTTCAAGAAATATTTCCTTCTATAAAATTTATAGATTTCATTATAATCAAATTTCAATAGTAGTATATAATTTTAAAAAAAAGAATGCATATTACGTTGTAATAATGAATCGGAACATTAAATTATTTCAAGCAATATAAAATAACTAATACATTTTTTACACAATTGACAATCATATTTTTGACAGTTAACGATAGTTAAGCAACAAGTGAAACGGACAGTTTTTAGAAAGATGATTGGTTTGTATAAATGATAGAGAATGTTCTATGGTAAAAAGCTTTAAAACTATACACAGACACGGATGAAGAACGTCGTGGTTGTTGGTAACTTACAAAATCTTCAGATTAATGCTTATGACCTGGAAAATAATACGCTTTGAAGCAACAGGTGATATTGAGTAAACATGAAGTTCTACATTTACGATTTTACTTATATATTGAAAGCAAATAAAGACTTTATCTACAATGTAATAAAATGACAATATATTTCATGGAACCTTTAATAGCCATAAATGTTAGTAGTGTAATTAAAATTTAAAGTTTACATTTGTAAAACTTAGATTATTAAAATTGTGAATCATATGTCCATGAATTACAATATTTAGTAACTGATATCAAAAATATTGAAAATATATGTAATCAACAGTTTCATTTGAAATACTTTATGAACTTAATAGATTTCAAGAGAACTTTTACAATAATTTGCACAAGTACATAATTGTGGATATATTTAGATTTGCAAAATGTATTCAACAATCATAAACACAAATGTTTTACATACAAAGTTCTTCTGTACACAATAACGATTTGAGTAGCATAATGAATGCAAATATTGAAGTACAAAAAGTCGAAATTAGATTAAGTAACGTTTGAAGAACTGGTCTCGATCCAAGCAAGTTGAAGCAGAATACGCACGTGGCGAATGGAAACCCAACGATTAGGAGCAAAGTGGAAACGGCAATGATCAATTTGTTTTTACATTAAAATACGCGTTCAAGAGCTGAAAACAAACAAACAAACAAATAAAAAGTGACTCATTACAATCGATATTATCCTCAGTTAGAGAAAGGTGTATGCATGAGGGAAACGTGAGGGGGCGGAGAATTCACAAAAAATAATTGGTTTCTTGGAAACATGGGTCAATATGCCTGCTGCTACTTGTTGGCAACTTTTGTCGGTTACTTTCGGCGGCAAACGAACAAATTCAAAATCTATGCTCATGGATAAATTCATTTCATATAATTATTTTGCTTCTGAGTAAATCAGATCAGAGATTAATTGTTTAATGATGATTTTAAAATAGTAATTTAATGATCATTTATTGTCATTGCTCAGTTATTTTGTTATGTAAATCACTTTATTTATGGTTATAAAATTTAAAAAAAACATGACTAATTGATTTTTAATTATTGATAGCGCTTAGTTAATGATAATGTTTGAAAACTATGAATTGTAAATTTAGATAAAAAAAAAGTGCTAATAATACTTATCCTCATTCTTAAGCTACTTGACATAATTTTAAAAGCTTATAAATACCAAAAAAACCTTAATCTATTGTTACTAATTTGCATTATGTTACAGTAACTGAAGAAATTGTCGAATCTTCGAAATACTTTCACTTTTAGTTTAATGATCATCTATTTGTACTAATTTGTGATATCTTTGAGGCAGAGTTTCAATTTCACCTTGTTATTACAATAACAATCTCAAAATTGCATAATAAGCCTTTCTACAACTTGTCTACTCAATCTTAAAATATGAATTTGATGAAGTACTGATGTTTGCAAACGTATTCATTGAAAAATTGAATTACTTCAATTACTTTTGCACCAATAAATCACCAAACCAAATCTTTCTGCTGTTTGATTTCTACACTACTACGAAGCAATTAGTCAAATCAATCATTAATACACACAAAAATCAAGCATTTATCTGTTGATTATTGAAATCTGTTATAATATAAATAATATTGATTTAGTTGTTTGGAAAGATTACGTCTATTAATAGTACTTTGTTGATTTAGTTGTGTGGATAAAGGCAACAAGTAATGGTTATTAATCTTTCTTGTGCAAATGATTTGATTTATTTGACTAAATTTTGAATGTACTTAACAGTTACAGTAATGTTTCATAACAGATAATTACTATCCATTCTGTATTTAGTTTATTATTGCATCAATCTACGGTGTTAGAGTTTAAATGGTCTTGGACAAGACATGCATTTGACTTATCACCCCTACATGGTTTTGTATATTTTTATGAA